AATACTATTTGAAGGTGTAGATTGTAAGCCCTAGAAAAACCACTAAAAATAAAGAAGTATGGCAAATAAACTCATAGGGGATATAAAAAACATAAAAGACATTAAATTAATCCAAACCAAAAGAAGGCAGAAAAAAAGGACCAAAGCCCAGATAGGATAAAGAAAAAACAAATAGCAATATTGTAGATTTAAACTCAAATATACAGATAGTTACATTAAATGTAAATGGCTGAAACACTGTTTAGAAGGCAGAGATAATCGGATTTGACATAAAAATATGACCCAATTATATGCTGTATGTTAGGCAAATATATCCACATCCTAATACCCTGAATCCATAAAGGAGTTAGGTTACACAGCAAAGAATAATTAAGTCTGCATATGAATTAAGGTTGCTAATCAGTTGAACTAAAAATAGGGACATTAACCTGGATTATCTGGGGGGCCCAAGGTGAGTGTAAGAGAGAGGCAGGAGACGTCAGGATCAATGGGATATGTTTCTAAGAATGGTCAGAGATATTCGGCGTTGCTATGATTTGAAGATAGAGGACAGGAGCCATGAGCCAAGGGATGAAGGTTGGAGGCTGGAGGAGGCAAGGAAACAGACTTGCTCTTAGAAAGGAACACAGCTCTGCTGACACCTTGATTTCGGCCTGATGAGACCCATGGCAGATCTATGATCTAAAGAACTACAGGACAGTACCTTTACATTGTTTTAAGCCACCAAGCTCATAAACATTTGTTACAACAGCAACAGAAAATATCTGCTATCTACCCAAAATGAACTTTAAATACAGAGACACAGAAAGACTAAAAGTGAAATGGTGGGAAAGAGGCTAACTCTAATCAAAAGAAAGCTGGAGAGGCTAGTAATATCAGACAAAGTAGATTTCAGAGGAAGGAATAGTACCAGAGATAAACAAGGTCATTTCATAATGATAAAGGGGTAAGTTAATCAAGGGAACATAACATTCCTAAATATTTATATACTTAATCACAGAGCTTCAAAATACTTTATACAAAAACTGACAGAGCTGAAAGGAGGAATGGGCCAATCTATAATTAAAGTCAGAGGCTTCAGCACTTCTCCCTTGGTAATTCATAGGACAAGTAGAAAACAAACAGACAAAATCCAATAAAAATATAGAAAATCTGAACATTATCAATTAATTTAGACCTGACATTTAGAGAATGCTCTTTCCAACAACAGTAGAATACACATTCATTTCAAATTCCCCATGGAACATTCACCAAATATAATGAACCAAAAAAAGATTCAATAAATACAAAAGTTCTAATAGTCACTGAGTATATTCTGTGACTA